ACCACTACCACTACCACGGCGACGACGACGACTGCCATTACTACACTACTGCTACTACCACCACCACCGCTAGCATCACCACCACCACCACCACCATGACGACCGACCCACCGACTACTCCAGCTGCTGCTGCTACTTCTACTACGAGACTGCGGAAACGAGAACGAGGACGACGATGTCGCCTTACTAGTTGGGAGAACGAGCCAGTTAGACCCAGATGAAGCCCTGCAGGGTATAGAAACAGCTGCGAAGGCGAAATCCTGCCATGGAGGCCCAGACACCACATTTTCAACATCGAGGGCACCTTTCCCTTTGTACGAAAAGGTCTAGGCCAACGTACAGACTCTTGAGCACAGGGATCACCAAGTAAGTCTGTGTTTGGAAGGATCGCCCATGAGCGTCCCTCAAGCCGGATCTGAGTCCCTGGCCAGTGCCCGGAAGTGGTTGTAGCGACCTGAGAAGGATCACTCCCAGGCATCACGTCGGATCAATGTAAGCCGGCCCTGAAGGGGAACAGCCATGTTCGATTTGCCTCTGCCTCCAGATACCAGTACGGCTTAGGGCTCAGGGTCAAAAAAGCCGATTGACGCTCAGTAGAGAACCCTCTGTGTCGACTGGGCGTATTGCGACTTGGCACCAAGACCGCTTCAGGTAAAACATATCCACTACTACAGTCCCTTTTCTATTGACAAGTTAACTACCAAATCGACGGAACGCAGCTTATCCCCACACATGGTCAGAGCCGGGGTGCGCAGCACTTGCCATGGGGCACCGTTTTCGGGAGTAACGACCACTTCGAAATACACGACCTTGTCGTAGGCATGGAGGCCTGCCACGAGTGTCTCTGCCCATGATTCTACTTTCCCCCTAGTCTGCGGAAACGGCTACGGGTACATTATGCTAGTAACTGCTAGGCAATGCGACTGTGCCCCGCACCTAGTCTCGGCAGACAGATGCTCGCGCCGTGAAGATCAGGAGAAGCGCCGCCACCAACTACAACCTGTTCCGCAACCAGAGAGCCCTAAACATCAGAGCCCGTCAAAAGAAAAAGGACCACAACTGCTGGGCTCGAGCCAAGGTGCAATTTCTTGCTGTCTGGGTCGCAGCATGTCTTTTGGCACTGGTGCACGCGACGCAGGCGCCAAAGGACCCGCAAAGAATGCAATCGGCAGGTCCTCTGCTGAGAGAGATGTGCGAGCAGACTGACAAAGAAAGCAGTGAGGCAGCGCAGGAGTAGATTCCACGCCTTCAAATTGTCCTCCTATCTCGAATTTGTCTTCTATCTCTCTGTCTCTCTCTCCATATATGTTCTATGTATGTATGTATGTATGTATGTATGTATGTCCCTACGTGTGTATGTACGTATGTATGTACGTATGTATGTATGCATGCATGGATGCACGTATGTATGTATGTATGTATGTATGTATGTATGTATGTATGTATGTATGATGTATGTATGTATGTATGTATGTATGTATGTATGTATGTATGTATGTATGTATACATGCATACATCCATCCATCCATACATACATCCTTGCCTGCCTGCCTGCCTGCATGCATGCATGCATGCATACATACAGACACACAGACATACGCACACACAAACACAAACACACGCACACACGTTTACACGGACACATGTTAATTGCAAGTTCCCCATCTCACATGGCACACACTTTTGGGTTCTAACATTCACGGTAAAAGAGATTGGGAAAGCGCGTCCGCATGCTTGGCACGGACAACAACGTTCTCGGGCACGTGGCTCCCGCTGTGGCGCGAATCACATTTTGGGATGGCGGCCCGTGTTTTTGTCCATCCTGCTGGAAACGATCTCGCGGAGAGATCGTGCCAGTACTCGGAGGAAAGCATGTTGGCTTCGCCCTGACCAGGACTACGACAACGACCACCAAGACCAGGACAACCACGACAACGAGTAGACTGAGTAATTAGACCACAAGGAGACCGCCAGAATATTTAGAAGCCACCAACAAACTAGCGGAGACCACCACGAGACGTGAAAAGCCACCATTCCCTCAAGCATTGCCGGGATTCATGAACACGGTGACAATGCTGCCCCCGAGTACTTGCGGGAGGCGGGAAAATGCTTTCCACCAAGCACTGGCAGGATTCAGGAGAGTCCTGTCGTGCTCGACCATGTGCTCTATCATCGTTTGGGACCTACGTTTGCATGATGAATGTGTAGGTAAGTATGTATGTAGGTTTGTAGCATCCATCCATCCATCTATGCATGCATACATGGCTGTTGATCTACATTCCTTCATCCTGGAATGACCTTCTTCGCAAAAAAAGGATCTGTTGCAACACCAGCGCGGAACTTTTCGCGGAATACACAGCAACACACACGTACATACACACATATACAGACATGCCTGCATGAAGGCACGCACGCATGCATGCATACACATGCATCTACATACACACGTTACACAGCCAGTTTTTCCGACCGCCTGAAGCACCCATATTTATTGCGTGCCAGCACAGGCTGAAACGGAACTTTAAAAAATGCGGTGATTTCTGCCAAAGCCTCCCAAGGCAGGCTGTGATGTCGATGGTGCCGGTGGTGGACCACACCATGACCATGATGATGGTGGTGCTGGACAGTGTGATCTCGCCACCGGTAACTGCTGTGGTCGTGACGATGCGTTGTTGCATGGTGGTGTGTAGTGTGATGGCGGGTCGTGTGGTGATGGTGGGTCTGAACGGTGTGGTGATGGTGGCAGTGGTGGCCTCCACTGAAGCCGTGGTGGCCTCCACTGAAGCCGTGGTGGCCTCCACTGAAGCCGCCGTGCGTCATCTCACAGCAGACCTTCAGGGACATGACAGGGCCTTGAAGCGTGATGCTATCCCATGTCAAGCTTACAGGGTCCGGACTCCAACAGATCATAGAAGCAGTGGGGGAAACACCGATTTTCTGAACTGCAACCCACCTTAGCTTGTGAATTTGAGGTGCAACGCGGTGCCACTCCTCCCCCGTATCCTGCTGTCCCGTACTTGAGCCGTGATGGCATTGAACGGTCGAGGACCAAAGACAAGAAGAGGAGGTTTCGTGATTTTTGGGAGCTGCGAGGCTTCACGATGCCCATGTGCTGCAAAAGACCAATCAGCAAGGATCCAATCCTCAACAGCCGCAACAACTACCGGACAGAGCAGGTTAACTTTAGCCAAAAGTCTGCTATTCACCTGAGTGTGCGACAGGCGTTCACTCTTCTTGCTCCCGGTCGCGTTCCTTAACATGACTCCCAACACTGACATGCTTGACCCACTAATTCCAACTGGGACTGCATGGCCAACTGCATGGCTGTGCATGGACAACTCCTCGGACGCTAGGGCACTGCAAACTCCAGCCTCATAGAAGACCCTTCATAACTACGAATGAGATCCGTGGCATGTTCTAGATGACTATGTAGGGGCTATGTAAGAGCCCACTCTTACAAGGGGAAACTATGCAAGTAAGTATTCAGACTTCTGTATAATCTCCGGCAGGCTGCCTCCTCTGCATCAGTCCGAAAATGCACACTGTGCGTTACCTTGCAGGGGCACCGGAAGGACCTTCCAAACACCCGTGTAAACCATGAGATGGAGTTCTGGTGCAACTCACAGCAACCTGAAAACTCAGCTATGATGAAAAGCAAAACTTGGTTGATAAGCCACATCTGCCCAACCAAGTGCTTGTCTCATCAGTCTGCAGACCGGCTAGTTGTCGAAGACTTGAACAATCAGCCAGTTCTTTGATTTGTCGCACCTTGCAACTACCAATCTCAAAAATGCGTACCGTCCGATGCAGATACATGCCACGGGCTCCAAGCTCAAATTAGTCGCCCATTCTAGACCGTGACAAAACCACTGAGCCGTGTGGCAGAACGTTTGGACGTGTCAACACCAGCGACATGAGATAAACCGGTGGTCTGCAGCCAAAGAAATCATTAGCACCAGGAAATCAAGCAATGCAACTACAGGTAGAATCTGCAAGCCTAGCTTCGCAAATGCGAGGTGCCAGGCATGATATCTCAAAGGAAACTAGGAGAACGACTAGCAGTTCAGTTGTTCTTTTGCGGCAGTTGCTGCTGTCGCCAGAATGGTAGTGGTGACCGAGTGGTCAGAATCCGCTGGGGTGTTTACGGTGACTTTGCGTCTGTTCCTGAAGCCCTGACCGGGTTAAGTAAATCCCAGAGGCAAGCAAACCCAGCAACAAGTGTTTGCCAATAATCGTGCACGTATGCTTCTCTGGGTGCTATTTATGTATGTGAATGTATACAGATACACAAACATAGATACATAGGTATAAACTCACATGCGAGTGTCCTTCACACCATCTAGCATACAACAACGAGACATGGCAAATCATCTCTCCTTGACAGAACAAGCAAGACAATACGGCAGGCAATCGAAAACCAGAGAGGAGCAGCTTGCAACAGACATCAACTCTGTTTTGAGTGTGAGCACGTACGTATGTGTGGGTGTACGTACGTATCTCTATCTGTCTACCTTGTCACCTGCCTACCTATGTACATAAGTGGATACATATATGTATTTGCCTGTGTGTGTGTGTGTAAAACATCGGTACAGATTGGTGCAGAGGGCAAGCCGCGACAAAATGTGATAGCATGCTGCGCTTGGTGTTAAGAGAAGCAAGAGCTTTTCAGGGTTGGGCGTTGTCGACAGTCAACAAAACCAAGCGGTTTCGAGACGCCCAAACCACCCAGCCTTTTTCGCATTCCTCGCTTCCGGCACTGGCAGATACCGCAGAAGAGCCACAGAGACAGAAACGCTAGCCTTAAAGTGCATGTGCACGAAAAGCCTCAAGCAAGCTCAAACCGCTGAAGGCCCTTGGCAAGAGATCCCCGCCACAGAAAGCCTGAACATCCCAACCCTGCAACCCTCCAAACGGGCCTCTTCCTCGTTGCCCTCTGATCGAAACTGCTCGCTGTGCGTGACCTGGATCGAGGCTCTGTCTGCTTCTTCTGGAGGGCATGGAGCCACACACGACAGACTTCAGGGTCTTCGGGCTTACAGGGTTCAGGATTTCGGATTTAAGGTTTGCATATATGGCTTTGGGTTTAGACTTCGTTTCCGAAGCTGAGGGGTGTAGAGTTTAGGCTGTTGGGATTTGAGGCAGCGCCGAGGTTCAGAGGTTTAGGGTGTTAGTAACTGGCCTTCAACCATCAAGAAGAATTCCGGCATGTACTGTCCGTGGCACTCAAGAATTGGAAGGGGACGCTATTGAAAACGATTTACTGCCTAGATTAGAGCCTGGTTAAAAAACAAAAAGATCACGTAGTTCCCGGCAACAGCCACGACAAGCCAGTTGCGATTAGCAAGTGACTCTCCGTACCCGTGGAGTGTCAGGGGGACATTGGCAAACCTCCGGCCCAACACAAACGAAGTTGTTCAGGGTTGTGGTTTATACGACGGGCAGGCCTGTCCAAGGGGTCTGAGGATGAGGTCTGGGAGGCGTGGTCGCTTTAAAAGTTGTGAGGCTTCAGGGATTCAGGGGGCTTCGAGCTTGGGATTTACACCTCGCCCCGTTCACATCTTGACAAAAATCGTATGGGCTACTTCGTCGCACACTTCCAGGCAGCCCAATAACATATGCTGATGCAGGCTTCGCGACAGCATCTTCACGACGACAACATCAGCCCCTCAAACTGCCCAAACATCAACACAGCGAAACCAATAACAAGTCTTTCGAACACTTCAAAAAACACCCGTGCACATGAGAAGCACAGTCAACACATCAAAGCTCAAGACTCAAAACCCCCAAACCCTAAACCCCCAAAGCACTTTTGGCTCCCGCATGGCAAACCCCCAAAGCACTACATTGCATCGCTCGTCATGGATATCATCATCACCATCATCATCATAGTGTGGTCATTATAGTGTTAGTATTACATAATCATGTTTTAGATCTGACTAATAATCAATGACTTGCAGTAATGATAACATTGACAATAACAACTACTACTCCTTATCGCCTACTGACCTACTGCTTTGATCTTACGAGTAAGAAATAGTAATAATGCTAAAACATGAGGAGCGATGCCGGGCCTTCTTCGGCGTCTTGAGGCTGTAGCGTGAGGCGGAGCAGAAGGACATACTGGATGCGGTGAGCAACCTGCAGGACTGTCCGAGGAGGTTTCCACCGAGGCAGTATAAGGGATTCTGGGATCTGGGGGCTGTATCAAGGATTCTGGGCTCTGCTGGGTCTAGCCTCCTGCATGGCATGACTAAGTCGGCCGAGGGTCTTGTTTGGGAGGATTTGGGGTGTGCGGTCTGATTGAATTGCTTTGGGATTTGGGGGTGTAGGGATAAGGCTTGAGTAACCTGATCACCAGACATGTGGTTGTGCCACAAGTGCACCTTTACTCCAAGTGTGCAACTTGCATGTATACATTGTGTATCCATATGTATGTGTTTATATGTGTATATATATATATACACATGCATATCCGCGCATAGACAAGAACCCAATGCAGGCACGGCCAAGCACTGTCCGTTCAGCGAGTGCTTCGGCCAAGGGGAGCATCTGCAAGCTGGAGGCATGTCGACAGACATTCGAGCGTCGCATGGCGTCATCGCAGACAGCTTGTTTAGTTTTGCTGCTGCTATTTCCAACAGTTAATTGTCTCGATGTTGACCTTGAGGAACGACTAGCTGGTGCCCACCTTGGAGAGGCTTCGTGCTCGATCAGGGTGTTCGCCTCAGGCATGTTGCGGATGTAAGTAGTTCAGAGAACATGCCCGTAGACATAGATGTATATATATATATATGTGTGTGTGTATATATATATATATACATAGACAGATTATACATAAACCTGCTGGCCTATCTCCTGTCGCTGCAGGCACAAGGATATGTACATGTCATGAGGGCGGATGCAAAGACCATCGGCCTGATACAGAAGCCTCGGCCTTGAACTATACGTTTGCCCATGAGGGCCCAGGTACCAAGTGTACACCCTAAAACCCAGGGTGCCGAGCCTGAAACCTAATAGGCAGGATTGTTCTCAGAAGCCCTGCCCTCAGTACATTCCTGGCCCATCCAGCACGGAAGTACATACTTTGGCAAGTTCCAGGAGTCTCTTGGAGGCAATTTCAGCCGGGCGACCCCGAGCCATTGACCTTGGCAAGTCGCGGGACCCTTCACAACCATTGATGCACATCCTGCTCGCACTCCGTCTTTAAGGTTCAGATACTCAGTGTTGCTATGCTGCATCGTCGTCCATGAGCTAAAGCACCATCCAGAGCAAAGGTTGCACTCATCGCTGCTGACAACCTTCCGCTTGCAGAGCTCCCATGACTTATTATCTTCATTAGTTGCAGTCGGTGCTTCCTGGTGTACATTGCCTTCATCAACACCGTAATTGGAACCGGGGGTCAACAACATGCCTTGGCAATGATAGTGGTGCTAGCAGCATCTGCTTTTCCAAAATCAAAAACCCGCGAACACGGCATTGACTCGCAACATATCGGCGTGGCTGTCGTCAGACTTACGACAGCCTAGCAGTAGCATACTGTTACAATGGCATACAACAGTAAGATGCAATCGACGAGAGCATTTGGACTGGACAAGTTGCTGCAGCAACAGTTGCCACCCAAGAAACTTGCCGGAGGCATGGCAATGCAAGCTCTGCACTCTCATAGAAAACCCCAATAATGACACGCAATACAAGGACGGCAGCTGATAAGAAGCAAGCCAAAGGTCTGAAATGCTAGGCTCAGGGACAGTTCAGTGCCTGTCTCGCGCTGAGCCGGTCATCTGGGTCGTTCACCAAAAGTCCTGCAATACCCTAAAACCTCAGCTGGAAGAAGGTTGAACCATGAGGGCATCAGTATCATAACGACAGTGAAGGAGGTTCAAGATTTATGTAGAGCTCCGATGGTTTAGGGCCATGGCAAATCCAGCGGATAATGACGAAAGAACTGTATACGACGGCAGTAATGCAATAGTGACCTCGGACTAAATCAGACAGTTTCATGGAAGACTCTATAAGCCCTGAGCTAAACAAACCCAGTAAATCAATGAATGCAACTTACATCCCAAACATCCAAATCCTGAATCCTAAAACCTGAGAGCCCAAACCTCCACCCACTGAAGCCCAAACCTCAAGCTCCCCCTAAAGAATGACTTGACAAAAAACCGTGCAAGGAGGGTTTAGGGTTCGGCACAAAGCAGAGTCCTCGGAGGAGCGCGATGGCATCCTCGGGCGCATCGTTCAGCTCCTGACACTTTCCATTGTGGAGCCGGCCAAGAGATGTTTGGAGGCTTACTTCAGTTTTCATTATGGAAATGTGGCCAAGACTTCTACAGGAGTCTAGGTCTTCTTCAGTATATTCCCATAAATAAAGGCATGGAGGCCTGGGGTGTTTGGGTTTTGCTCCAGTTAAGAGGCTTGGTCCTTTCAGGTGACGCACAGGGCTCCTCGCCTTTAACAAGTAGATCCTTCTATGGGCCGAGTTTATGGAGGTTCTCGAGGCTGAGCTTTTGTGTAATTTGGTTTCGGGCTCATGAGCCTTCTTGTTCGGTTTAAGGGGTCTCTCTGCCTCCGGCTTCGCACGGACGAATCCGCATTGCAGGAGAAATCTTGCAAGAGAGAGTATGGGACTGTGCAGCTTCAGGGCTCTAGGGTCGTTTAGGGTTTAGGGTTTCTGGTTCTCATGCCATCTTACCTGCAGTCATGCAAGGACCAAACTAGTTTGGCAAAGACCCGGGGCCCTTGTATCAAGTAGCGCCACGCTCGAACCTCGACAAGTAGCAACTTATTGGAACAGCTATGCTGCAAACACGAATGTCAAAGTCTGTGCACGATTATGCGCGTATAGTCTTGGGTCCTAAAAGAATTCTGGAGAATGCCTTCAGGTCCTCCTGAGTCTAACTAACATGTCATCGCGAATCCTCGACCCAGTTTTTTAATAAAGTCAAGCTCTGGGGGCACGATGCCTTCGCAGTCAGCGCGGTTTGCGCCGCCTCGCCTGAAACCCAAGTTTTATAATTATAGGGCCTCTCGTTAGCGCCTAAGGAGCGGTTTAGGGCAGCTGAGGTTCACTGCGCTCTTTAGGAGGAATTCTGCAAACAGTTGCTAGCTGAGCGGCTGACTCTTCCGATGTTTGTCTTCGGAAGGGGTGCTATTGTTCATGGGGCAGGATCGCCAGAGGGCACGTGGATTCGGAAGTGCTTGTGCGTCCAAGTTGAAGCTACGTGTACGATACCTTCATCACTGTCACCTGACTGACGGGACCTGCAGCCTCAGCCTTCATGCCGCGACCAAAACCCACCCTTTCAAAGGACATGCATGGCTGCAACATCCTGTTTAGCAGCAAAGGATGCGCACGAGCACCAACTCAGCCGAACCACCATTGAGGACCTTTTTGCTCGGCACGAAGCCGACGTTGACGTTCCTCAACACAGGCGAGGCAGACTGAATCTCAAGAGGCAGACTCCAATTGAGCATAGATGTTAACAATCCATTCGGCCTCAACAGCCTCAACAGAGCGGGACTCAAAAGTGCGACCTATGCTTCCAAGGGGTGCTGGGGTTTCAAGAGAAATTAATGCCCTTCCTATTGCCTATATCTCCATGGAGCACCACAGCAAGTCGTCTACCATGCGCAACTTGCTAGGCCAGCGGAACTGTTCATCTTGAACATGAAAGAGACTTGGTGGTCTGTTAGAGTCTAACTGTTGGAGTAATTTCAGGGAATCTATTGAGGTGCTGGATGGTGATGCGTGGTAGTTGAGTAGCACGTTGTTGCACCACACGTATTTCTAGGCAGTCTTGCATCGTACTGCTCAGGGTGCTACATACGCGGACCTTGCTGTGGGCTCGGCCGAGCTCTTGGAAACAGACCTTGCCTCCAAAGTACGGAGCAGCAGTTTCGGAATTGCTTGGGAGATCGTGGCCTGATTTCAGGAGTGGCTAGAATGAATCGGGAGTATCTGGCGCGCTCGGCGCTTCTCGAGTTTCCAATAACTCACTAAACCGACTCTTCCGCACTGGACCCGTACATGATCCTTTCGGGGACAACAACATCCAACACCCGGGTCGGGCAATCAAGCAGAAAACCCTTCTAATCTGAACCTTAAGCTGGAAAAGCCCCAAACTCTAAAGCCGCACTCCGTAGAAGACTGCTAGCCCTGAACCTTAAAGCCCTCGAGTAGGCGCTTGGTAAACCCCTTAGAAAACCAAGCCACTGCTTCCAAGGCGGCTGCCCCGTGAGCCTCGGATCATGAGCTGAGGGTTTCCGAGTTTTTTTGCCTCCCACCTAGCTGGGACGAGCCCGCATTGCAGGGGAAAGTCGGAGTAGACAGCGACAGGGCATCATGTTAAGGGTTATAAGGGGTTAATTATAGGGCTTGGGGTCGGTGTAGGGCTTAAGGCTTTTAAGGTTTAGGGTGGTTTTAGCGTTTAGGGTTTAGAGTAGTTGAGGTTTGTTGATGGCATTCGTTGCGGCTTAGACTCTCGTCTAGGGCTAGAGGGGCCTTAATGCTTGGAAAAGAGGTTTGGAGCCTGGGGTATATGTTAGTGTAGCTACATAGAGACTACAGAAACGGCCTACCATTGCTAACAATTCCAACCCTTAGACTGAGCATTGTAGGGTTTGAGATTTGGAGTGTAGTGTATGGTTTCGGGTTTATAATGCTAAGACTAAGATTGGCCGTATGGCCATCATGGCGTCTTGGCATTGCTCCCGTTCCTACTCGTATGACGTGGTTGCAGTTGCTACTGGCTCTACGACTTGCTTGTGACCGGTCTTTCTTTCCTCCTCTCTTGGCACTGCCATTCCTCCGCAGGATAAACGGACGGATCGTCCATCACGTTGTCATACTGCTGTTCTGCCCTCAACCCCTCTATTGTGCTATTCCTCCTCCTTGCATCTCTGGAAACCTGGATTGTTCCGCACTGAAGGATCTACGACTCAGGAAAGATGGCGTGTGCTGGAGCTCTTGGGATCCGTCGTGTCCACACGCATGTTCTCTCCAGGCTGAGTACACATACCGAAAGCTTGACTTACAGCGAAGTCGCAGGATGAAAAGTACCACTCCAATCGACCAAAGATCGGCCTGGCCAGGAGTACCAAAGAAATGAGAAGAGGAGTTCAAGGTTCAGACGGGCTCACGGTACATTAAGCATAAGTATGAAGATGGTAGCTTAGCCATCGTCAAGGGAGAATACAAACTTGAGGGGTAGTCCCCACTCACTTTTCCCCAAGAACCGAAGTACCAAGCTGCGATGAAGCGAGATGCAATAGCCGTCACCATGGCCCTCATGGTCGGCACCGGGTGTATTGTGCTAGCAATAATGAGAGAAGACGGAGGCAGAGCAGCAATAGAATTGAGATGGTTCTTGATCTTGAATTTGTCATTACTTGCACTGGAACACGCAGCTGGCACGACGACGAACAAGACGACTAATGCAACTGCCCATGCACATGCAACTGCGACTACTACGACTACCCCTGATCCCAGACCTGTGTGCTGTACTTCCGAGAGAACACCTCCGGGGCGACGTACAGCAAAGTGCCGACCTCGCCAGAACCACACCACCTCTCTCTCTCTCTATGGACAGGGTCGGTTTTCGATGACGGATGCCAGTAGCAGCGGCATTGGCAGTAGTATTCGCATACCGTGAGTACTGCCGAATGCTGTGATGTGTGGCGATTACAAACACTACTGCGCTGCTTCTACTTCATTAGAACAGACCTTGTTTAACAAAGGCAGCTAGGGGCTGTAATGGAAGATTTTTTTGGGGCCTGTTGCATTCTAAAAGCGACAAACGTCAACAGTTTCGAAGTTCTTCAGGCCGCTGCCGGGGGTCCTTGGATTCTCACAGATCGGACTGTCTCGTTGCCATTCTCATAGCCCTGGGTCCTTCCTCAAACAGCTCGATCATAAAAGCAGCGACCGAAGTAGCTGTAGGAAGTTTGGCATGCAAAGCTGGCAGTTGCGAGTCTTCGTACCGGTGAGATCTTGGTGAACAGATCCATAAACCCGAAACTCTAAAACCCTACTGTAGCAGCTTCGTAAGTTGCCGGCGATGGTTCGCTTCTCCGCAGAAGTCGCGGGGCAGCAGAGCCCGAAATCCACAAGCACTAGCTCCTGAAGCAAAGGATCTCGTGGTCGTGGCGTAGTGGATCGGGGGATACAAGTGATGCATAATGCATTTTGCATACCTATAGACAAAATAGTAAATAGTATTAGTGTATATGCACACAATACACACACACACATATTTTCTTATCTGCTTACGCATATATGTTTCGTACATCGCAGTTGTGTTGCGACAGCAGCTAAGCCGCCACAAATGGGGTCGGGGACAACAGAAAGCAAACAACCAGTATAATAAACAAATATCTACCTACATGCGCACATGTATATATAGATATATCTATGCATACACATGCCGTTATATGTATACATATGGATATGGATTTGGATATATATATATATATAATGCATACGTACTTATATGCATACATGTATGTATGTATGTATGTATGTATGTATGTATGTATGTGTGTGTGTGTTTATATGTACATGTATAAGCACATATGTGTATATGTATATATGTGTATATGTATATATGTGTATGTATATATGTGCATGTCTGTATGTATGTCTGTATGCACGTACGTATACATTAATACATGTATACATGTATGTGTGGATGCATATGTGTATATAAATTCGAATTGCACACACATGCATCATACATGTGTATATATATATATATGTACACGTACGACTCTAATGGGGAGTATATACAGCATCTGGAGATAGCATAATAACAAGAAGCTAACAATGCGAATATGAGTATTTATATTAATACTACTACTAGTACCACTCTTGATTCTAAAACTGATGCTGATACTAATACTAATGCCAACTCTACTACTATAACAGCAATGTAATACCCAAACGTCTTCACCAGCCATCGTAATCAATATGATGTTCAGTCATCCTCTATATATATTTATATTTTTTTGTTATATACAGATTTTAACAACAGCATGAACAATAATACTGTTGATGACACTAGTGTATGAGAAACAGAAAAAGGCAACTGTGTCCACCTACATCATGTTATAGTACGTTTGTTCCACTATGTGTGCATAAATACATACATACATACATACATACATACATACATACATATATATATATACAATGTGTTGTATCATGCTTTGTCTTTTTTAAGTTATATGATATCACATGATCCTCAGTTCAATATATCATGTATACTAGACTGTATTATACTACATGAGCTGATATGACGTTATATGATTCTATCCTGTAGTATCTTCTGAAATACCATATTCCAATGCATTACGCTGTGCTGTATTCTAGTAACATCTGCTATTGCACATCTTCCCGTATCAAGTTGCACCACATGAAATTTTCATAAATTATGCTACATTATCCTAAATTGTCTAGATTTTTGAAAAATATATATATATATATATATATAGCATGCCAGAACTTCGAGCGAGGCTCCGAGTCCGGATGCTTGGAGCGGAAGCGCAGGTTCTCCTGAGCTCTTGTGGGTTTAGGGTTTAGGGTTGAGGGGTTTAGGGTTTCGGGCTTGGGGGTATAGGAACACCAGTTCAGGGTTGGGTTCAGACAGTTTAGGGTTTAGGGTTTAGGGTTGAGGGGTTTGGGGCTTAGAGTTTGGGGGTTTGGTTTCGGGGTATAGGAACACTAGCAATGAGACCATGGCATCTAAACCATAAACCCTGGTTACGATCTGAGCCTAGTCGCGGATATTATACATAGCCACAGCTTTTTCTGCAGCGCGAGGAAGCTATGCTATGACTTGTTGCCCTGTCACCCTTCGAAAGGCTTTGGTCTGTCTGACACTTGTCAAACGCAAGACCACATGCTATCCTTGTCAGACTCGGTTTTCCCAGTGGCCATGGCATTGTCTAGACCTTCAGATTATTCTGATTCTCCTAAGGCAAGACAAAGGGCTGGGCTGCATGTCCTCGGTGAAATCCCAAGCCCTAAACGGGCGCTAACCTTGACGAGATCCGGGTTCAACCCTCCTCTGCTCCTCTAGCGAGTGAGGAAGCAAGTCGCGCAAAGCAAACCGGCAAAGAACTCGTTCAGAAACAACCCCATCCCAGCCCCGCTGAAAGGAGGGAATGGGAACACGTATCGCTGCATAATTGACTGCTGCTGGAGCCACTGGCTTCACATCTCGGTGGATCAAGCCCACGTCGCACACCGCGTGTATGTGTGCCAGTGCCTTGCCACTCCCAACCGCTGCTGTAACAAAAACGTCCCTGATCGTAAGACATCGGCCTGAGGTATTGAATCACGGAGTGCACAACTCGGACCATTAGGGACACTTCATGATGGGTTACAGAATGACAGCACCTGCACCTAGCATTGGAGCCGTCGTAAATCGCAAATAGTCTTGGCCGGTTGACATTAGGAGAATGGGGCACTTCCTGAGTAAAACGGCCCTTCAGGTTTGTTGAGTTGCAGACGCGGATCCATTAAACTAAGCCGAGCGGTGGCTTGCACAAAACTCGGAGACTGGTGTTCCTGCTGGCAGTTGCCACATATTATAAAAGTAACTTTTTTAAGCTGCGTGCGACCTGAACAGGGTGCATTGCTGGGATCAATTCGGAGACCAGGCACGGAAAGCAAATTCTGCATGATGAACTTCGCATGCTCCTCTGTCCTTGCACGGCCAGAGTCATTCAGGACGCGATGGCTGCGGTTCGGAATCTTGCCGCAGCTGGCCGACACAAATGTCAGTGAGCCAGTGCGGTAGTCCAAAAGGCCTTCCAAACTCTAGGACAGCTGTCCACTCCCTGACATATACTGTATATATGTATATATATATATATATACATACATATATATATATAATTATGAAGTGGTTGCAGCTTTCGAGACCGTGCTGCCAATTGCCCTTCCGATGCCGAGATGCAAGGCCGTTCCCTTCACACTGAGGTGCTCGAACAAGTCCGGTCCTGTGATACAATCAGGGGTTGAGGGTTTAGGGTTTTAGGGTTTAGGGTTCAGGGAATTATACTCTTAGAGCTTCCCAACACGCCAGGTAAGGCCCCCAGCAGCAAGGCCTTTGCATGCTCCATAGGCGATGACTTGAACCCGAGGCTTTGACAGTGCCAGGAATGAGCGGGGACTTTAGACCCGCAAAGCCCGCCATGTGCTAGAAACCCTGAGCTTCAGCCCCTCGTGACCTCGCACCAATTTAGTTCACACCAAAAAGCATCGGTATCAACATATGAAGAAACATGGGAAGATTGTTTGATAATTGCTAGACTGAACCAAGGGAGTAGGCTCATGTATGAGTCAGAACAGCTGGCCAGCTGGAGACTCAGTTACCGAACTCAAAGCCATGCAAGACAAGGAGTGATTGACCTTTGTACAAGAAAACCCACTGTGGCGTTGTGCGATGTTGTCTTCCCTTGCCTTGACGACAAAGCAGACCAATGACAAAATCTCTGTGCAGACGAGCCGCAGTTCAAAGAATCTAGCACCGAAAGCCGAAGATGTGGTGTCCGTTGTGTTTGCAAACATTTGACTAGCGCCTGCGTCGACTAAAGCAAGCCCGCAGCCTCTGAACACGGAGCGATTTGTCCGCACACTACTTAGCACTTCCCCGAAGCATACAGCTCGCAGCCATCATGTCCCGCATCCCCAGTGTGCCCACCCTACTGACCCCATGGCACCCGGGCTCCTTCTAGGAGCTCCATCACCACGAAGAAATTCCTCAGAGGACCAGATTTGAGTTTGTCCGAACAAGATGCAACTGCTCAAGGCACTACAGCGTCGAGCTTAGAACTTCGCAGCGTAAGCACAAGCTTGCAGGACTCTCGCCAGCAGAAAGGCGAAGGACGTCGTCCCTGTGCAATCTGAGAGTGCTCTTGTCGAGTGATCTGAAGTGGACGCATCCGAATATAAAGCCTCACACGGATGTGTTCCAAAGAACCCGACGGCTGACTCACTGCAGCTGAGGATCGCATCGCTCATGATCGTGTCGAGCAGCCGCACAACGTTGGGGTGCGACGACTCTCTGGACCTGGCATTGAACATGTAAGCATTTGGAGGTGCCCACGGTGGCTCTTGCGAGATTTGTGGTCATGAGAAGGAAATGGACGTATTGTCGCCACGGAAAACAATCGATGATTACGATGGAGACGACCACGAGCGGGTAATGTCGTACTATTGACCCATCACTCCTAGGTCTGTTCTTTGAGCTTGTAGGCCTTTGTAGCTCTGGGCTCTGGATTCATCTCCCCTAACACCAGATGTTGCAAGACGTCAACCCAACGAGCTCAGGCTTTCATGAGGTAGGGTGAAGATAATTAGCCTGTTTCCTCTTGTCGCTCTGACATCTGCACGATCCGACTGTGATGCCTTGAGCTTGCCTGACCAGCAGCTTAACACCGCGAGCCGGTATGCTGTATAAGGCCCGGGCATACGCAGCAGCAATGAAACGGTGTCTCGCTCCACAAAATTCTTGTGGTAGTGCCTCGGCTTCTCTAGAGACCGTCATGAGTTTCAGGGATTCGGGGTTAGTAAAGCTTGACGACCCAGACACTACGGGATCGACGAGGCTTCGCAGTGAAGTTCCCCCTGTGGCGCTTTTGTTCCGGTGTGCTCGTGCCGCATTTGTGTGGTCACTTCTGTGTCGCGGTCTGGGGCCGCTGTCGGCCAGGACCTTTTGGTGAAGACTGAGAAAGCTGGCGAACCGGACCACTACCTACAGGAGCAAACCCAAACTTGCAGTTCTGCACTCCGTCTACCATAGTCGCGGGAAGTCGGACGGCTTCGTTTCGGTGAGCCCCTTCAAGACCTCGACATCCCCGAGAGCCTTCAACCACACCGGGGAACAGCTCTGAATCCGTTTCCTGGGGGACAGCTCCAGCTTCATTGAAGGTCAGCCTGCACCCAAACCGCCTGAAAGCGGAAATGCTTCCGACCTCCAACCTCGGGGTTCTGAATGATAGTTTCGAGTATCAACGCACCAACCCTAAACACCCTTTTTGCAGCGACTCACCAGGACAGAAACACCCCTGCTTTTTGCATCTTGTTTGCAGCGACTCAACCAGGACAGAAACAAGAGGCACATCCGAAGCCCACAAACCCCCAAAGCCTCAACCGGAAATCTGCAAAGCTCTGGCCCAATGCGGAGCTCAAGCAAGCGACTGTCCAACGTGCTCTCGGTTCAACAACTTGACCTTGCAAAGCTGGGCGACTGTGAACTTCCGTTTGGGGCGTTTTAGGAGCAGGGCTTTAGGGTATGGGTACCGGCACATATGAAACCTTTCAGCTTTGGGTTTGCTCCCCTGCAGACGCAACAGAAACTTCGATTCGTGACGACGCGTTCACGGCTTAAACGGCAGAAGCGAGGGTTCGAGGTGTCGACATGCTTCGACGTCCGTGAGCAGGAGTCTCAGCAGCTTTTGCTTGGAACCTGGTAGGTTCTATGTGCGGATATTGGTAAGAGCTAATCAGAGCTGAGACGGCCGACCTCTCACCAAGCACATGCCTCGTCGAGCGGTTGTGGTCTCGTGGAAAGCCGAGGCACTACCTCATGGCCTGGTCTCCGGCATACTTCAAAAACCCGAAACCCTCCCTTCAAGCCAAGAGCCCACCCCGAAGAGCCGCGAAACATCCTAAACGTCTCATTGCTGCCGCGCGCACGGCGCAAAGGAGGCCCGTCGCACGATAGTGGCCGACGTAGGCTGTGCCAAAGGAGCCTTGACCCAGCTCCTGGCTCACAGAAGCCACAGAAAGGTATCATGTCAGTATGAAGGAGACGGCATACAAATGCACCTATCTTTCATCACCTTTTTATCTGCCAGTCTGTATGTTCGAAAAAGAAGAAAGAAATCTAACAAAGAGAAGAACAATACTACAACAAAGGCCTGGAGCATGCCTATCATGTGCAGTGGTCGTTTTGAACTTGTGTTCGTGAATTTAGCCAGAGGTCTGCTGGAGAAGTAGTACAACCAACCATGGCCAGTGCTACAGTATCGCTTGATACTAGTGCATTTGCTACTCTTTTTCTCTGACATCTTCTTCTGGCTGCGTTGCCGCCGCCGTTTCCGTGCTTGTTATTGTACCTTACCCTGAGTAGCGTTCTGAAAGATTGTATGGGTGCTGTGACATACTCCGACCAGGCTATGTCCTGACGACGTAGCTGTCCCTCGATTGGTTCTGTCTCTTGCCCAGGGCCTCCAAGGTTCTGGCCAAGCCGCGACACCCGAGACCCAGAACCCTACCCTAAACCCTAAACCCTAAACCCTTCTTCCGGTTTGCCCTTAACAAAAGAGCCAGACACTTCAGCCAGTCGCTGGAAGCCTCCGTCACGTCGTAATAGTCGACGAGCTTTGGAGGCTCTTCGTCCTCCGGAGAGTCAGATGTGAATCATTTGTAGAACTTTGCAAGTGGTTCTGGGAGCAAGCATGCAAAGACCACAATCATGCTTGCAACGAGGATGACAAGAAGCAACAGCAACAGCCCGAAGAGTGCAGCAGTAGTCAACAGAGTGCCAGGGTCACTAGGATTAAGGCGGGGTTGTTCAGCGTGTTCTCGTAATTGTTCTTGTCATTAGTCTAGAGTCTCCATTGTAGTTCCTTTTTGGGGATACCTTATAGAATCCTTAATATATAATTGGCTAACCCAAAAAAAGGAACTACAATGGAGACAATAGGTACAGTACAGCCTTATGACACATGGGCCTTTTGCAGGCGGAACATTTGCCTGTGGCGGACAATTACACTGGACTTGGGCTATGGACCTTCAGGTGCAAAGGTGGCTTAAAGCTGACACATGTGCTACTACACGCTGCTGTTACACGGATGGGGGCTCAAGTTGAGGAACATGTTTTGGCCCAGAAGTGTCGACCAAAGTAACGTGCTGTCTGGTGTAGTTTCCGCGTGCTGGCAAAATCTGCCAAAGCTGTACACCTTGAACGCCAATCTTTACATATCCATAGTCTTGGACTTGACGATGCTTGCAAGCAGTTTCGGCGCTCACACTCGGACAATCCAGGCAAGGCAGTTAGTTGACCAGGTTTATCAGAACCTTAACACGCTCAACCCAGCCCCCTTCCAAAACAATCGAACCCTAACCCCAAGGGGCCCAAGTTATAGTATAGTATATACTTTTGGGGCCCAAATACCTACAAACCCTAAACCCTAAACCCTAAACCCTAAACCCCAAATACCTACAAAGTAGCTACCATATTACTACTTGGACCCTTTGGGAACCCGAGGTCCTCGTTGAACTCCTTCTGCGCGCTTTCTGCGTCCAGGTTCAAGCTTTGCCCCACCAGGCCCTGGAGATGGCTCTCAGGGTTTATTCGTGAATGCTGTATTATATCATCTTGAACACAGTTTACCATGACATGATATTAATTATAGTGTGTTTTGGGCATATTGCAGTATGCTGTAACAACTTATGATCAAGTACAGCATGTGATAGTTGAGTTTAGCTTCCATCCTTCGGCCTGGGTCGTGACACCAGTATCAAGCATATACCAATAAACCACAGGGATGTTCCTTCCCCCGGCATTTCACGCAATTCATGCAGGGCTTAGGTGAGTTTTGCTACTCTTCCTTCTCAGGTCGAGCTGCTGTTGCAAGAACCTGCACAATCGTCTCCTAGCCGACGGCTGCAGAAAGGACAAGGCCCTATACAATCCGAACCTTGTTTGGGGCCGGAAGCCCGACAATCCCAAAGCTTCACGGCGTGACGCCAAGAAAGCATCAACCACTTGCGCGCTTGCCGGGCAAGTCTTAACACCATGCGCCGGAGCCAAGCTCTGCTGGAAGCCTTGCATCCTATGCAAGCAACAGGGATAAAGTCATTCCCAGAGTCTGCCTGCGTCCACAAACTGCGAATCGTCTCATTCCTTGGACAGGTGTCTAGAGCCGAAGAGCACGATTCTTACCTTTGGTTAGTAGGGAATGGAAGAATGGTAGTAATAGTAGTTATAATTGTACCCCATTCCTCCATTCCCTACCAACCAAACGTAAGGATTGTTGGGCGCAGTGGGCTTAGCAATCAGAACCTTGCACTTTGAGTTTATTGCCGATGGCGGCCTCTGCACAGGCCTAGCACCAAAAGGCCGTGGAAGTTTCAGCGAAAGTTGCAAGTGCTGCCAGCCATCTCGTCCAAACCCTAGACCCCCCTACTCGAAACCCAAAGCTCCAATCCGCAGACCTCGTGCACCCGAGCCTCTCCAGCTGGATGTCTTCCAAGCGCACGGGTCTGTTTTGCTTCTTGCGCTTCGGTTGGGCCAGTGGCGTGGTCGGGTCCATGCCAACCTCCGACCTGACTTCAGCGCTTCTTGTAGCATAAACGAAAAACTCAATGGGTGTATGCCTATAGCATGTCTATACACATATGTGTGTTTATAATGGGCGCGTGTTGGTAATACAAATAGAAATGGACTTATTTATGTGTTCTTATTTCGTTGGTTGGTTTGTTTGTTTGTTGAGCTCATGATTGGATTATGTATGTGTTTCCGTTGCTTAAGAAGTTCTGGGTTAATGTCTGAGCATGACACCGAAACCTGCATGCTGCCGGTGCCTCCCTCTGAAAGTTGCGCAGCACTTCTGACACCCCGACGATCTATCAAGATGATGTAGGCATCATCAGGCATGACTGTTCTTGTTTCCAGGCAGGTGCTACAGTTTAGTTTTACGGTTTTGGCTCAGGTGCAGGGCGGAGTTAAGAGTTGCAAACAGCTTCAACTGGACCAGTGCAGCCAAGTGCAAATTTGAGGATTTCTTTCAACTACGGCTCGTGACGGGTCCCTACACTACGCATCCTGTCTTCGAGGCCTCCGCAGTCGATTATTTTCAAAAAAGATCTGATTTTGGTATGTGTCCATAGCATAACGACATGCGCTTCTTCTGCAACAAAGCAATTTGGTATTGAAGGCCGCATCCACATGTTGTGTATGGGAGTGTGCACATTACAGTACGCACACATTATTATATGTATATATGCGTCTATACTTGTGTGTATATATATATATGTATATGTATCTATATTGTGATATTGTCTTTATATGTATACGTATATGTTCATGCGTGCATGCATGCATGCATGCATGCATGCATGCATGCATGCATGCATGGATGGATGTATGTATGTATGTATGTATGTATGCATGTGCACTTCTATTTCGAGCAGCAGGTTTCGATCCTTGACTGCAAGGAAAACCAGCAACACAAAGGATGTGTGGGCTTCTGTAAATTGGCGGTCCGCTTTGGGCTGAGGATCCTACGGTTCAGATAAGGATTCTCCTGTCATCTGACACTCCTACATGTGGCCTGGTAAGCCCAACTGAAGGCTGAAATGTGCAGGCAGGAAGAACACTGCCGATCTCTCTATGCCGAGCAAGAGACTCCGCCCCAGTGTCCAAGCCGATGGCTTTGAAAAGGTCATCGAAATCCTCCTCTTGTAGACCCCCCTGGCCGCAGCTGCAAAGGTCCCTCGTCTCGGGCCCATGGATTTCTACGTCGATCTCAAAGATAGCCCGCTGGTCAAGCTTGTGGCCAACCTATATCACAACGAGTCACAACGAAGTGCTCGGGAAGTGATTTCCGGAGGGTGCTTTGTGAAGACCGATCCACTGGTACGCACTCCCAGGGCTGGTGCTCGAGCTGGTGAGGTGAGCTTGCAAAAAAATGTCGTGTCCTGCGGCCGATCAACAACCTGCAGCCGATCAACAGCCAAGAAACATTTTGTCCGAATCCGAATCCGAATCCTCCTGAAATCGCTTAGGCATTTTAACCCAACATCTTCCAGCAAGGGCACCTGAGGCGGCGCAGCGAAGGTCTGCATGCCAATGTCGCGAGCCCATACCAACTCCTCAAGTCAGGGCTCCATCTTTTCGTGGGAAAACCCCATCATGTCTTCGCATGGCCAGTACCGGGGTAGCAAGAATGTATGCTGCCAGAGCCTGTTGCCGGGCATGCCAAGCGCCTCCCCGTGCCTCATGAATGATCCCTCTGACTCTGACAAATGAGAATGGAAACTACAATAAGAGGAGAAGTACAATCAAACTAAAGTACACCAATGATGACACGATCAAGCGGAAGAGTGCTCTGGTTCATTCTGCTACTGCGGCCCCTGGAATACATAAGAGCAAACAAGCATCACAAATGTCGTCGTCTATGAGGATCGCTTTGTCCCAGGCCTCTGCACCTGGCATCGTCACTGCTGCGTTAATAAAACGAACACCATCACCAGCACCACCACCCCACCCCACCACCACCAACAACAACAAAAACAACGACAATGACAACAAACAAACAAACAAACAAACAAACAAACAAACACATAAACAAACAAAACGACAAGCCAACAAACAAACAAACAAACAAACAAACAAACAAGCAAGCAAACAAACAAACAAACACACAAACAAACAAACAAACAAACAAGCAAGCAAACAAACAACCAAGCAAGCAAGCAAGCAAGCAAGCAAACAAACAAACGA